GCGCTGTTTCCAGGTTCCCCCCACCCCCCATGGAGGTGGAGGGCAGGGGCCCTGGTGTCTGGCTACAGCCCTGGCTGCATGGGGCGAGGACTATGACCTGGCTACAGCCCTGGCTGCATGGGGTGGCAGCACGGGGCCAGGTGCCCTGCTGGCTGCAGGGCACCGGCCCCCTGGGGGCAGGGAGCGCGGGGGCAGGGGGCTGGGGCCAAGTGCCCCAGGGGGGCAGGAGCGCTGGGGCAGGGGGCTGGGGCCAAGTGCCCCCTGGGGGCAGGAGCGCTGGGGCAGGGGGCTGGGGCCAAGTGCCCCAGGGGGCAGGGAGCGCTGGGGCAGGGGGCTGGGGCCAAGTGCCCCAGGGGGCAGGGAGCGCTGGGGCAGGGGGCTGGGGCCAAGTGCCCCAGGGGGCAGGGAGCGCTGGGGCAGGGGGCTGGGGCCAAGTGCCCCAGGGGGCAGGGAGCGCTGGGGCAGGGGGCTGGGGCCAAGTGCCCCAGGGGGCAGGGAGCGCTGGGGCAGGGGGCTGGGGCCAAGTGCCCCAGGGGGCAGGGAGCGCTGGGGCAGGGGGCTGGGGCCAAGTGCCCCAGGGGGCAGGGAGCGCTGGGGCAGGGGGCTGGGGCCAAGTGCCCCAGGGGGCAGGGAGCGCTGGGGCAGGGGGCTGGGGCCAAGTGCCCCAGGGGGCAGGGAGCGCTGGGGCAGGGGGCTGGGGCCAAGTGCCCCAGGGGGCAGGGAGCGCTGGGGCAGGGGGCTGGGGCCAAGTGCCCCAGGGGGCAGGGAGCGCTGGGGCAGGGGGCTGGGGCCAAGTGCCCCAGGGGGCAGGGAGCGCTGGGGCAGGGGGCTGGGGCCAAGTGCCCCAGGGGGCAGGGAGCGCTGGGGCAGGGGGCTGGGGCCAAGTGCCCCAGGGGGCAGGGAGCGCTGGGGCAGGGGGCTGGGGCCAAGTGCCCCAGGGGGCAGGGAGCGCTGGGGCAGGGGGCTGGGGCCAAGTGCCCCAGGGGGCAGGGAGCGCTGGGGCAGGGGGCTGGGGCCAAGTGCCCCAGGGGGCAGGGAGCGCTGGGGCAGGGGGCTGGGGCCAAGTGCCCCAGGGGGCAGGGAGCGCTGGGGCAGGGGGCTGGGGCCAAGTGCCCCAGGGGGCAGGGAGCGCTGGGGCAGGGGGCTGGGGCCAAGTGCCCCAGGGGGCAGGGAGCGCTGGGGCAGGGGGCTGGGGCCAAGTGCCCCAGGGGGCAGGGAGCGCTGGGGCAGGGGGCTGGGGCCAAGTGCCCCAGGGGGCAGGGAGCGCTGGGGCAGGGGGCTGGGGCCAAGTGCCCCAGGGGGCAGGGAGCGCTGGGGCAGGGGGCTGGGGCCAAGTGCCCCAGGGGGCAGGGAGCGCTGGGGCAGGGGGCTGGGGCCAAGTGCCCCAGGGGGCAGGGAGCGCTGGGGCAGGGGGCTGGGGCCAAGTGCCCCAGGGGGCAGGGAGCGCTGGGGCAGGGGGCTGGGGCCAAGTGCCCCAGGGGGCAGGGAGCGCTGGGGCAGGGGGCTGGGGCCAAGTGCCCCAGGGGGCAGGGAGCGCTGGGGCAGGGGGCTGGGGCCAAGTGCCCCAGGGGGCAGGGAGCGCTGGGGCAGGGGGCTGGGGCCAAGTGCCCCAGGGGGCAGGGAGCGCTGGGGCAGGGGGCTGGGGCCAAGTGCCCCAGGGGGCAGGGAGCGCTGGGGCAGGGGGCTGGGGCCAAGTGCCCCAGGGGGCAGGGAGCGCTGGGGCAGGGGGCTGGGGCCAAGTGCCCCAGGGGGCAGGGAGCGCTGGGGCAGGGGGCTGGGGCCAAGTGCCCCAGGGGGCAGGGAGCGCTGGGGCAGGGGGCTGGGGCCAAGTGCCCCAGGGGGCAGGGAGCGCTGGGGCAGGGGGCTGGGGCCAAGTGCCCCAGGGGGCAGGGAGCGCTGGGGCAGGGGGCTGGGGCCAAGTGCCCCAGGGGGCAGGGAGCGCTGGGGCAGGGGGCTGGGGCCAAGTGCCCCAGGGGGCAGGGAGCGCTGGGGCAGGGGGCTGGGGCCAAGTGCCCCAGGGGGCAGGAGCGCTGGGGCAGGGAGCTCGGGTCCAAGTGCCCCTGGGGGCAGGGAGCGCTGGGGCAGGGGGCTCGGGTCCAAGTGCCCCCTGGGGGCAGGAGCGCTGGGGCAGGGGGCTCGGGTCCAAGTGCCCCCTGGGGGCAGGAGCGCTGGGGCAGGGGGCTCGGGTCCAAGTGCCCCCTGGGGGCAGGAGCGCTGGGGCAGGGGGCTCGGGTCCAAGTGCCCCCTGGGGGCAGGAGCGCTGGGGCAGGGGGCTCGGGTCCAAGTGCCCCCTGGGGGCAGGAGCGCTGGGGCAGGGGGCTCGGGTCCAAGTGCCCCCTGGGGGCAGGAGCGCTGGGGCAGGGGGCTCGGGTCCAAGTGCCCCCTGGGGGCAGGAGCGCTGGGGCAGGGGGCTCGGGTCCAAGTGCCCCCTGGGGGCAGGAGCGCTGGGGCAGGGGGCTCGGGTCCAAGTGCCCCCTGGGGGCAGGAGCGCTGGGGCAGGGGGCTCGGGTCCAAGTGCCCCCTGGGGGCAGGAGCGCTGGGGCAGGGGGCTCGGGTCCAAGTGCCCCCTGGGGGCAGGAGCGCTGGGGCAGGGGGCTCGGGTCCAAGTGCCCCCTGGGGGCAGGAGCGCTGGGGCAGGGGGCTCGGGTCCAAGTGCCCCCTGGGGGCAGGAGCGCTGGGGCAGGGGGCTCGGGTCCAAGTGCCCCCTGGGGGCAGGAGCGCTGGGGCAGGGGGCTCGGGTCCAAGTGCCCCCTGGGGGCAGGAGCGCTGGGGCAGGGGGCTCGGGTCCAAGTGCCCCCTGGGGGCAGGAGCGCTGGGGCAGGGGGCTCGGGTCCAAGTGCCCCCTGGGGGCAGGAGCGCTGGGGCAGGGGGCTCGGGTCCAAGTGCCCCCTGGGGGCAGGAGCGCTGGGGCAGGGGGCTCGGGTCCAAGTGCCCCCTGGGGGCAGGAGCGCTGGGGCAGGGGGCTCGGGTCCAAGTGCCCCCTGGGGGCAGGAGCGCTGGGGCAGGGGGCTCGGGTCCAAGTGCCCCCTGGGGGCAGGAGCGCTGGGGCAGGGGGCTCGGGTCCAAGTGCCCCCTGGGGGCAGGAGCGCTGGGGCAGGGGGCTCGGGTCCAAGTGCCCCCTGGGGGCAGGAGCGCTGGGGCAGGGGGCTCGGGTCCAAGTGCCCCCTGGGGGCAGGAGCGCTGGGGCAGGGGGCTCGGGTCCAAGTGCCCCCTGGGGGCAGGAGCGCTGGGGCAGGGGGCTCGGGTCCAAGTGCCCCCTGGGGGCAGGAGCGCTGGGGCAGGGGGCTCGGGTCCAAGTGCCCCCTGGGGGCAGGAGCGCTGGGGCAGGGGGCTCGGGTCCAAGTGCCCCCTGGGGGCAGGAGCGCTGGGGCAGGGGGCTCGGGTCCAAGTGCCCCCTGGGGGCAGGAGCGCTGGGGCAGGGGGCTCGGGTCCAAGTGCCCCCTGGGGGCAGGAGCGCTGGGGCAGGGGGCTCGGGTCCAAGTGCCCCCTGGGGGCAGGAGCGCTGGGGCAGGGGGCTCGGGTCCAAGTGCCCCCTGGGGGCAGGAGCGCTGGGGCAGGGGGCTCGGGTCCAAGTGCCCCCTGGGGGCAGGAGCGCTGGGGCAGGGGGCTCGGGTCCAAGTGCCCCCTGGGGGCAGGAGCGCTGGGGCAGGGGGCTCGGGTCCAAGTGCCCCCTGGGGGCAGGAGCGCTGGGGCAGGGGGCTCGGGTCCAAGTGCCCCCTGGGGGCAGGAGCGCTGGGGCAGGGGGCTCGGGTCCAAGTGCCCCCTGGGGGCAGGAGCGCTGGGGCAGGGGGCTCGGGTCCAAGTGCCCCCTGGGGGCAGGAGCGCTGGGGCAGGGGGCTCGGGTCCAAGTGCCCCCTGGGGGCAGGAGCGCTGGGGCAGGGGGCTCGGGTCCAAGTGCCCCCTGGGGGCAGGAGCGCTGGGGCAGAGCGTGATGTGCAGCCTGCTGGCAGCGAGGGGGCGGCTTATGCTGGAGAGAGCCAAGCAGCCCCCACACAGCTCCGGCACTTCGACGCTGGCCTGCCGCGACCCCTCTGGGGCGGCTCCTGGCCCACTGGCTGCTGGGTCGGGCACCTGCTCCAACACCGAGGGGCAAATAGACACTGTCGCCCCCAGCCTCAGGGCCAGGCAGCTCCTTTCACTCCAGACCCCATCACGCATCCCGGCCCAGGGCTCTCCAGCACGGCAGTTCCAGTCTAGGGGCCTGATCCAGTGAGGTGCTGAGCAGTAGCATCTGCCTCCGATTGAGCAAACCATGGGGAGGGAGTGTTCAGCCCCCGGAGGAGCTGAGCCCGACTTCATTAACCCCTGAGGGCACCGAGCCTGTGATCTGACTCCAGGATTGGGCCCATGTGCCTTACCCCATGGCGGCAGCAAGGCCCGTGAGCCAACTGCAGGATCGGGCTGTAAGGCGTGAACGCTGCATTGCACTGAGCCCTCTGCTCCGACTGCAGGATCGGTCCCCAGTGCAATATCCCGAGGTGGCACGAATCGCTCGGTCCTGATTGATTTCCGGCTGGCCCCTTCATCGGCTCAGACAGCCACAGTCGGTGCCCGTTAGCCAGCCCCCTGCATTGCTGGGGATTCTGCGGTGGGCCAGATCAGTGGTGAATTTTGGTTCGGAATTTAGCCTCCAAGTTCCCGGTGGCGTGACCTTGGCAAGTCCCACAACCTCCTTGGAGTGGGGAGCTGGGTTTTAAGGTACCAGGCGTCTCACTGCCAATCAGGTGCGGGATCTGAGCTGAACCTCCAGGAGCAGAGGGGTACAAAGTGTCTCAGCGGCCCTGTAAGGAAAGGATCAGAGAGCCAGGGCCTGTGAACACATCTGGGGGAAGGGAGGCAGTAACGCCTAGATCAGTGGGTCTCAACCCAAGGTCCATGGGCCACTTGCGGCCAATCAGCACGCACCTCGGCCCATGTGACAGCCTCAGGGCCATACAGGTACTATATATAATGCGTGGATGCAGCCCACACAACACAGAGAGCCGCACAGGTGGGCCACAATGGCCAATGCTCAGAGAACCACAGGCCTAGATGGGCTACAGGTAGGAGAGTGTTTTGGCCAGTCGGGGGAGTGAGGGGGGAGACTTTGGCTTCAGACCCTGCCATCTCCTTGTCCAACATTTAGCCAGAGGTTTCAGAGCCTTCCCAGCCCTTGTGCCCTGTGAGCCGTGGTGCAGCAGCCTCGGGCGCAGGGGACATGGGTAGCAGTGGGGACAGTTTGACTTGGGAGGGTGCAGGCCACCGGCATTGGAGCAGCTGGAGATGGACTCTGCAGATGGAGATGAGGTGGAAATGACTTTGCTGCTGCTTTGCTCGGTTATGGGCTGAAATGCACGAGGAAAGAGGGAGAATGTGTGTGGTGTGTGTGCATCTAGACATACATGTGTATATATAGCCTGCATGCATCTGTGTGTAGTGTGCAAATATGGAGCAAGTGTGCATGTGCATACATGTGTGCGGGGTGGTTCTAATTGTGCACTGTGTGTATAACATGCCTACATGCATATTCAGCTGGCTGGGTGTGTTTTCACATGGGGTACCTGTGTGTACCTGTGGTGTGCTACGTGCATGCATGTGGGAAGGCATATCACGTGTATCTGTGCATATAAATGTACACCTATATAGGGGATGTGTGTGCAGGTATAGATTTTGCACCATCATGTGTATGTGTGGGTGGGCATGTCTGTACGCAAGATGTGCAGGGATGGTATGTGTGCATCTTCATGTGCACATGTGAGGGCATGCATGTACCTGAGATGTGCAGGGATGGTATATGTGCATTTCCGATTGTAAGTGTGCCTCTGCAGAACGAGTGCATGAAAGTGCAGATATAGTGTGTATATCTGCATGTAGGTGGGTGTGCATTCTCTTGGGGCGTGCATGTGTGTGCTTGTATTTGGCACATGCAGTGTGCATGCAGACGGGTGTTGTGCATGCTTGGCTCTGCATTTGTGCGTGGTGTGTATGTATGTGCGTTTGCTGCATGTGCAGTGGTGCTAGGAGGCAGGAAGAGCAAGTGAATAGCTATTGAATCTATTGACCTAAATGGAGCTCCTGCTAGAAGTGACAAGTGGTTGCCTATTTATCTAAAGGTCGGAGCCAGTGGTGCGGGCTGTACCCCAGGGGTCTTGATTACAGTCAGACCTAGAGGCCATAAGAGTGATCAGAGGCCCTGAGTGCTAGGGGCTGTACGTGCAATATTGAAAGACAGGCACTGCCCTGAAGAGCTCACAACCCAGAGAGACCCAGGAGGAGAGACAGGGAGGCACTGAGTGGAGCAGTGACTGGGGTAGGGCCCCCCAGCTGGTGTGTGGCTGAGCCGGGAACAATGTCTTGCCTTCCAATCCAGCACTATCCACTAGCCCGCACTGCCTGGGCCGGGGGGTTGCCTACGTGAGGGGCTGTTGGGTGAGCACAGGTGTCCTGGCTTCCTCTTGACCCGCCCTTGCTAGGCCCAGTGTGCAGGGACCTGGGGGCTCCGAGGAGGAAATGAAGGTGAAATCGGCACCCTGCAGGGGGTTTATTGTGAGGGAGAACAAAGGGCGTGCTCCGCCCCCGCTCAGCCACTCTGACCGCTCCCCGGGGCGCTGCCCCACCCCCCTACAGCAGAGCACACCGGCACGCTAGCCCACAGCACAAGGGCAGCCGCGCGGGGAGAGGCAGTAACCCTTAGAGCGCTCCGGTTGTAACTTGCCTTCCTTGCCTGTAGCTAGGTTGAGGCGCTGTGATTCACACCACCTCCAAAGGGTTAATTTTGCCATGTGTTTCATTCCCTCGCCTTGTAGTCCCTTGCTCACGGCTGCTCTTGCCAGGGCCGCCCCCACGGAAGAAGTGCCCTCCCCCGCCCTGGCTCGGGCCCTCCCTGAGGCTCCAGGCTGAGCCGCGACATCGGCATTAGCTCTGTCAGTATCCCCAGGGTGCAAGAGCATCTCTGGGATGGAGAGGCTACAGCCTCCCTCCAGCCAGACTAGCGCGCGTGTGTCCGTGTCCTGCCGGTTCCACAAGGGCATTGGCCGGGAGGCTTGCCTTGAAATGCGTGTCCTGGAGAAGATGACAAAGACAATAGCACTCGCAGAATAACTCGGATGTACGGGCTTGGCCTCCCACGGGCAGACCCCAGCCTCTCTCCTGCCCTTGGCAAGGCCCTCAGACACACTCTGACTTATCTCGTCCTTCCAACCTTTTGAAAGATTTTCCCCTCCTCCACATTATTCAAAGTGCTTTTCAAGGAGGAAATAGGATCCCGCCTTCCTGGAAGCCCCGCAGCCCTGCCCGCGCCACCACCAGAGATGTGGAGTGAGGATGTGACACCCCTGGCACAGCTGAAGGTGGTGCTGGGGTAACAGGGTAGGGCTCTGCCCACCTGAGCCAGGGTGAGTTTGGCTTGTTGATTGGAAACCTGGGCAGCTCGGCCGGAGGGAGAGAGCTGGCTGGGCAGCGGGAAAGGGTGGGACTGCCAAGGAGAACTTGAAAGAGGACCCCTGGTCAGCCCATGAGAATCACCAGCTGTGCATCGCCAGACCCTCCATGTGCACACCCGAGCGCATTGCCTCTCGGAGCCGGCAGCGGAGAGGTGGATCCCTTGAAACCGTGTGGCAAGCTCAGAAGTTCACCATGTTGGGCTTGTGTCCCGGTTCAGCTTCAAGGTCTTCAGAGCTGCGCCATGGCTGCTACTGCAGCGGGCATTGCGGGGACTGTCTGGGTGCCAAGCGGGGCCATTTCTGAGCTCTGTGGCGGACACCGTGGTCCTGAACCCTGTAATCCCAACTCTCCTCGGCCCACCTGTGCTCTCCCCGGAAAGGAAGGGCAGGCTGAAGGGGTAACACACGTTTGGGGGCGACGTTTGGGGAGCTAGAAAGAACTAAGCCCCTTGCCCCCAGGGCTGGCCCACAAGATTTGGCACCGGAGGCGCGGAACTCAAATGATGCCCCCATGCTCCCTCGCTTGGGCCAAAACTTTGAAAAGTCTCAATTCTCTGGGTCCTAATGACACCCCTCCCCAGTCTGGCCGCCTCCGTTCATCTCATGATAAGGCCAGCACTGCCTGCCCCAAGCCTTTCGAAGGCCGGTGAGCTTGGCTGCATTGCCAGGCCCCTGTATTTTAAGCACAGCCCCTGCTTTCCGGAAATTGATGTGCAAAGAATCCGGGGGCTTGTGGGTGAGGGAGGAAGAGGCAGGAGTTTCGTAAGCGAGATGCTAGGGGGGGGAGGAAGAGGCAGGAGTTTCGTAAGCAAGATGCTAGGGTGGGGTGGACCAGGGTTAGCGGTTCCCGTCCTTGCCGACTTCCCTCTCTTCGCTGTTCTAGAGCTCCCACTGCAGAGGCCCTGAGCCCCCCGCATGTGCATGGATGTGCCCAGTGGATCAGGGCAGCATTAGCCCCTGTAATCAAGTCACCCCCCAAACCTTGTCTTCTGCCTTTGGAGAGCCCTCTTGGAAGCTGTGCAGAAGTGCTGGAGTGGAAGGCCTTGGACTCAGACGCTCTTGGTTCATTTCCTAGACTTCCTCGGCCACACACATGGGCGGGGAGAGACCAGCTGGGCTGAGTGTTCCCCGGGCTACTAAACCTCATGGTTTAAATCCTTTGCATCCTCCAGGATTGTGGGACAGCACCCAGCCTCTCCGCTCTCCCATGGAATGGGGTACACAGCTACGCCAGTGTGAGAGGTCTGGTGTAGGGGAGCGCCCATCTCCTCCAGCCCCGAAGCCATCTCCCTGGTGCCTGGGGTGAGCCATTGCCTGGATCTGACGCCCTGTGACCTTGGGTTCTCTGACGCTGGTTTCTTTTGCAGCTTGATCCAGACAACACTGGTTTCATCGGCGTGGAGACCTTCGCCAGCCTGGTGCACAGCCATGAGCTGCCCCTGGACCCTGCCAAGCTGGAGATGCTGGCGGCTCTGGCCCAAAGCAATGATGAAGGGCAGATCTGCTATCAGGAGCTGGTAGACCTGGTCAGTAACGTGAGTACTAGTAACAGCACAAGCGCCAGAGCTGCCTGCTGCTGCCGGGGAAAGCTCTGCCCAGGAAATGCTGCAGCTGCGCCAGTCCGTCGGGCGGGTCCGGTCCCGGAGCCCGCGAGAAGGCAGGCCCAGGATTGCACCTGACGGACAGATGGGCCTGGCAGAGCTTAGGGAGGGGAGTCGCAAAGCCCAGCCGCGGGTTGGGGACCGCTGGTTAGTTCAGCGTTAGAGACCATGGGGCAAATTCATCCCCGGTGTAACCAAGCCCAGCTCCTGTTGATACAGGGCCCTCTACCCTTGCTTGTGCCAGGCTTGAGCTTGGCCCTGAGGTGCAAACGGGGGCTCGCAGGGGGTAAGCAGGCTCCCAGAGCGCCCCGCTACACAGACAGGGATGGAGCGTATTTGGGGGATCCCTTGGGTGGAGGGTACCTGGGCTAGGGATGCTGGCGAAGGGCGCAGCCTGCATTGGTTTCTAGTGGGCACCTGCTGGCTGGCTCTAAGGGGCCGGATTAGCCCTCGGGGGTGTCTCACGGGAGGTGCCCCGCCCCCACTTCCCCACCAAGATTTTAATTGCTAAATGGAGTGCCCCCACATGCCCCCTCCTTGCCCCTCCCTGCACCCATCCCCCCCAGGCCCCTGCCCCTGCCTCAGCTGGAAGAAAGATTGCGACGTGGGGGGGAAAAGGGGGAAGAAAACAGAGGAGCTCCCTCCCGCCCGTCTGCTCCGTACTGCACGCCGGGAATCCCCTGCCTGGAGCATCTGTCAGCTCCCTCCACCCTCTGCTCCGTGGGCGGGGGCCGTGGGGCACTGGGTGAGCAGGCGCTTTGTGGGGGAGGGGCTGGCTCGGCGCCAGGAGGGGGCGACGGAGCGCTTGGAGCCCGCGTCAGGCCGGCCCATGTTGAACGCGTTGGGGGGGGGTCTCAGCACAGCGGCCTATAGACAAGAAGCTGCTCCATGCAAACCAGCCGTGCGAGCCAGGAGGCCCAGCGTGGCGTGGGCCACGGACGCAGAGCTGCCCCTGCAGGAGCTGAGACGTGGGGGGCGGGGTGCCTTGCGTTGCTGGCCGCTGCTCGCTGGAGGCCTGGGGAAAGGACAGGGAAGCGGCGAGGCTCCCCCCAGAGGAGCCCCAGGAGGGAGATGCAGCCCCTGGGTTGCCTAGCTCTGGCCCAAGGCTTAGGATCTCCCCTAGCACTGGGGAGCCCACGCTGGCACTCCAGCCCCCCCACTGATTTTCCTGTGGGTCAGCAGCCCCTGACCCAAAAAAGGTCCCTGCCCCTGCCCTAGAGAGAGCCTCCCTTATGCTCCTAGCTGCCAGGCTGAGGTAGCTTGTCACCGTCTCCAGCGGGGAGGTGGGACCGCTCACGGCTAGGCCCTGGGGCTGCTGCCCGGTTCTGTTCAGCGCCGGAGGAAGGGCTTGGTCTGCCGTGCACCCTCTGAGCCCTAAGTGGCTGGCTCAGGCCCCCGGGCAGAGGCCTCCAAGGGAGAAGCCCTGAGGGAGGCGGAAAATTCAGAACATCGATTTTCCCCTCGTTTGCTGAGCTCTTAAAGCAGGAGGCGCCGCTGGCTGCGCAGAGAGGATCCCTTCGTTCTCTGGAGAGAGCTCCTCACTGGCCTGGCTGCTGAGGCAGTGACCCAGCAAGAGAGAGCCATGAGCATGTGTCCCCGCCCCGCTGTGCGCGCTGCATCCCCGACCCGCCGGGTCTGCCTCCCCCTCAGCACTGAGCAGGCCTTGGGGTCTCCCCCATGGCCTGAGCCAGCTGGGGAATCCCTGCCCTGCGCTGCCCTCTGCTGGCGGCGGCTGGGAGCGGCGGAGCTGGGCGTGCTGCAGTCGTGCGTCACGGTCTCTCTTTGCAGATTAGCAGTAAGCGGTCCAGCAGCTTCAAACGAGCCATTGCCAATGGGCAGAGGGCGCTGCCCCGGGACGTGCTGCTGGACGAGACCGGGCTGGGCTTCTACAAGCGCTTTGTCCGCTACGTGGCCTATGAGATCCTGCCCTGCGAGATGGACCGGCGCTGGTACTTCTACCAGCACCGCACCTGCCCGCCGCCCATCTTCATGGCCGTCGCCACGCTGGCCCAGGTACGCTGACTGCTCCTGGGCACCGCGCCGGCCTAGACACCGGCCATGCCACCGGGGGCCGTCCTGTGCCACCGGCCATGGCTTGGGCTTCCTGGCAGCGGTATGTGATCCCGGGGCACCTTGTTGAACTCCAAAGCCAGGCCAGGAAGCAGCTGTCACAGAGGCACCCAGCCGGGCAGCCGGAGGGCGTATTGCAGGCTCAGCTCGGCCTAGAGGGGAGTTCCTCGTGGTTGCCCCGACAACCTGCCCCTTTCCTTCTGCAGATCATCGTGTTCCTCTGCTACGGGGCCCGGCTGAACAGGTGGGTTCTGCAGACGTACCACCCGGAGTACATGAAGAGCCCGCTGGTGTACCACCCGGGGCACCGCGCCCGGGCCTGGCGGTTCTTCACCTACATGTTCATGCACGTTGGGTAAGGACCTGTTGTTCCCCGGGCCACCCAGGAGGTAGGCAGCTCGGCTGATGCACAGAGCCTGCGCTCCCTTCCCACTGAGGCAGGTGGGACTCTCACTGAAGCAGGGTGGGGCAGCCCAGGGCTGGATGAACTGGGACCGGAATCCTGGTTTTCCCTCCTCCCCAGAGATCAGAGCTTGCAGCTCCAGCTGAGGTCTGGGCGGCTGCTTGTTCTGAACTGCGGACGAGAGCCCTGGATTTCTGTCCTGGGGCACAGGAGGGACGGCTCCTGGGAACTGGTTACCTCTAGGCTAGCCCAGATCGGGAGGGGCCGAAAGGCATTCCCACCCCATGGCCGTATGCTGGCCCGTGTGGAGAGAGGGGGTGAGTCTCAGTGCGGTTCCTGCTGCACAAGGCGGATTGGGCTTGGAGGCAGACCTGGCCTCTCCTGATAGGTGTGGTCCCTCCAGGCCGGGGCACTGCTGAGAGTCACTGCAGCTGGCAGTGAGCCCGCCAATCCAGAGGAGAGGCCTGTGCTAGCTCTGCTTGAGCTAGGGCAGTAAAACCAGCAGGGTGGACACGGCAATACAGGCAGTGGCCTGGCTGGGCCACCTGAGCCGCACCGCCTGGGCTGCGAGGGTTAGCTGGAGCGGAGGTAGCACCTGTCTGTCTCCAACCACACTAGGAGGTAGGCTCCCGGCTGCAGAGTAGCCATCCCCGAGCGGAGTCTCGGAGGGGCGGGGTACCGTGTGTTGCAGCTGCCCGTGGTGCCCTGGGTAGTAAAGGACATCTATCTGCCTCTGGGTGTGTGTGTGCTGAGCTGCGTGAACAGTGAGCCCGTTACTTACAGGATATTTCAGGGCTAGAATGGAGCCCCAGCTGGGTTTGCAGCCCTTCTTTAGGATTCATTATTTCTCGCCGTATTATCAAAGATTCTAGAGCCCCCTTGTCGCGTACTGGGACCCCACCCCCGGTGCTAGGGGCTGTACAAATGGGACAAAACAGTCCTTGTCCCAGAGAGCGTGTGCACGAAGTAGGAGCCCAGGGATTCCAGAGAGATTCAGGCAGCGAGATGGGGGTGGGACAAGGAGACAGACTAGTCAGCGTGGTCGGCAGTGGTCTCAGAGCACCCGCAGCCCAATCCCTGTTCGGTTTTTTTGTAGGTCTCACTGGCACTGGGGTGGTGGTGCCTTGAAATAGATCCCCGATGCCGGCATCAGTGGGACCCTAGAGCCTGCCTGGCATTTCAGGATCCGGCCAGGACTCATTGCTCTACACCCAGGGTGTTCCCGGCCGCATGCTGGGAGGCTGCAGCTGGGTCTTTCTAACCCAGACCTTCACCAGGAGGTCTCGGCCCAGTGGGTGAATGTGGCTCCCAAGGCTCCATGTGGAACCAGGTTCAGCTGGACCTGGCAGTGGTGTTGACACAAGCAGCATCCCTGCACAGGGAAGAGGGTGGCTCAGGGCCGCTCCTGCAGGAGGGAGCTTTTCGGTCTCCATCCCCGGTCCTGCCTCGGTTAGGTGGGCTCAGTCAGTCCCCTCCTCGGTGGATACTCCAAGGGGGGGCTGGGAGCCGCCCTCTGAGCGAGAATTGCAGGAGCAGGGTCTGGGCTACGCAAGGGACCATAGGAGGCAGGCGGTTCTATTCACCCCTCCGCCACTAGCTTACTCCATGCCCTTGGGCACGTCACCGCCCCCGTGTCTCAGGAAAACGGGAGTGCCGCAAGGACTCATTTGTGTGTATAAAGTGCCGGGAGAGCCTGAGGGGAGGTGCCGTGGGTGTGCAGAGCTGGGCCCTGAAAATCAGCCTCCTCCCTCCCCCCGCCACGCGGGCCTTCCAGCTCAGGGTTGACACCCTCTGGCTGGGATGGGTGGAGGCTCTTGAGAGGAAACGGGTATCTACCTCCCATGGAAACGGATGGGAATTTGAAGGGCTTACCTGCATCTCCCAGAGTTGGGTCCCGTTGCTCCATGCTGAGGCCAGCAAGGGAAAGTCCTCAGAAGGGAAGGGAACCGGGGCCAAAGTCTTGATTTGCATTTCTTATTCCCACTAACTCCCTGATCTGTCCTTGCACAGAGCACTGCGTACTATGCCTCCCTGGCCCGATAGGGGGCGCTCTACTTGTCTGCCCCACAACGAGTTCCTGGAGTGACCTTGTGTCCATGTCTCTGTCCAGGCTGGAACAGCTGGGATTCAACGCCCTCCTTCAGCTGATGATCGGGGTCCCCCTGGAGATGGTCCATGGCATCTTGCGCATCAGCTTCCTCTACCTGGCAGGAGTGCTGGCAGGTAGGTGGGGAACGCCTGGCCGGAGAGCACCTCTTGCAGGTTTTCCCGGGGTCATTCCGAATGCTCCCCGGGCCCCTCCCCAGTTGTCTGTCACACGCTGGGAAGGCCCAGGCACACAGCCTGAGAGCTTCGAGCTGACTTCTCCTGCCCTCCGGCCAGCGTCTTGTCTCCTTCCCTCCTCCCTTGGCCTTTCTTTTCCTTTCTTTCTCTCTTCCCTCCGGTTTCTCTCTTCTCCTGCCTTCCTTTAGACCTCCTCTCTCCTCTCCCCAGGCACTGCGGCTCCGCCCCTCCCCCCCTGCTCTCCCAACCCCCACCCGCTCAGCTGTCAGAGTTCTCCATTTCCTTCTCGATTATTCCCTGAAGGGTCGGC